GTAAGTAAAAAACGTAAAAAAATATAAAAAACTCTTTTCTTTTGAAAATTACATTAAATTTTTTACAACAATTAGAATTAATTTGGAATTTCAGAAATTATTTTGGAACTACGAATATTAAGTTGGAATTACACAAATTATGTTGGAATTTCGATGGATTATTGGAATTACTGGAATTGTGGTGATTTTTTTTTTAGAAATGGAATTAGTTGTACAAGTTAACGGCCTTTCGCATTTTTTATACTTTGTAAATAACTCGATTTTCAAAATTTTTATTACTGTTGCCTCGCAACACGAAATTATTATTTCTAGAAATTAGTGACGTATCCATGGCAAATTTAGGTATTCGTTGCCAAGTAACAATCAAAATGTGTGGCTTTAGTAAGAATTGCCAAGCAACCAAAGACTAAATTGGTGTCTAGGGTGTTTTTTGAGTGTGATGAGTAGATTTTTGTCGTTTGAGTGTAGAGTATGTGTACCAGAGTTGTTAATATGCGCATAATAAAAGCATAATATCCCACTACAAGTCCAATTTTATTATTCAGGGTCATGAATATCGAGTGTTAAAATTAAAATCCACAGTCCTTAAGCCATCGTATAAAAGCTGAAGAGCTTTTGAAAGTGACGCAGCTGCGAATAGCAGGGGGGCGATCATCAAGGCAAGCCTTGTAAACAGCGGGGTTTTCCAGTGATTTAATTTTCATGAAATTTGCGATCAGGTGTTTTCAATTTAATCGAATTTGTATTCTATCGAAATAACATTTATTAAATTAGTTGTCGTCGAGTAGTTAAGAAGCTTAGCTCTTATGTAAACACACATTTGTGATGAGAGTTTGGATCACGTGTGCAGTGGTCGCCTCTGTCAGTCTCGAGGGTGCACTAATGTCACTGTGTTTTAAACCTAACGGTAAACAATGTAATGTACACTTAATCAAAAATACTGTTTCAAGGGACGTATTGAGAGATTTTGTGTGTGTGTTGTTAAAGTTGAATTAAGGGATGAGGGAGGTAGAGTACGGTTCTGTACGATTGGACGCCTAGGGCACTCGATTAGCGAGCTCTTGGTCGTGCGAAAGTACAACTGTAAGTCCATGTAAGCGGAAGGTAAATAACGTTGCAATTATACGCCCGACGCCCACTTCTCTGCAAACAAGTGCACTGATAATACATATAATGCATGATGCTGGGGGTGCAGCGAGAACAATGACACTTTCACACAAATTAATTACACTCACATCAAAGAAGGAAAATTACAAAATATCACAAGAAGTAGGTGGAAAAATTCAAAATTTTATTTCAAAACCCTTTATTTTGCATCCTTGACGAGTCGCACATGTTAATAGTCTCGCATGATTGCTATAGTAATGCACTGTAACTATGGTAATACCAATTTAGAAAAATGTAAATGTCATGGTAACAAGAAAAAATTGAGTACAGTCCAGTGGTGGGTAATTTTTATGCAAAAATTAATTTGGGCAAACTTTTCAAGTTTGTTTGGTAAAAAATTCTGCGTCTCACCCTATATTAATTTGGTTTTGCATTCAACGTTTTTTTTTCATCTATTGTGCTAATTTTGCTACAAATCGTGTTTTGTTTTGGATTTTAGTACAGCGTTGTCGAATTTCTGGAAATTTTTTGCAAAATTTTGAAAACGCATCCTTCGATTTAAATTCTTCTAGTATCCTTAATATTGACAATAAAAAAATCAAGTTTTGCACAATGGTAAAAAAGGCTTTGCTCTATCATATGGTGTAATTTTCATTTGATTTTGTTATACAAGGTGTGTACTGGAAATGATCAAATTGTGCAATTTTTAAAAATAATATTTTTTTTATCGCCCTGTATATTAACTTTGTTTTGCATTCAACGTTTTTTTCATCTATTGTGCTAATTTTGCTACAAATCGTTTACATTACAGCATTGTCGAATTTTTGAAAATTCTTTTGCAAAATTTTGAAAATATATCCTTCGATTTAAATTTTTCTAGCATCTTTATTATTAATAATGGAGAAGTCAAAAATTTTTGGCATTGAGAAAGCTTTGCGATAGGTTTGATGTAATTTTTATTTAATTTTTTTATACAGGGTGTGTACTGGAAATGATCAAATTGTGCAATTTTCAAACAGTCGTAATTTTGTTTGTTTTTAATAAAACTCCATATTTTT